GGACAGAAGATAACTTGCAGGAGTGGTTTTCACTTCCATTATGAGATTCTGGGGATTCAACTCAGTCATTAGGCTTGGAAGCTAGTGTCTTTACCTGTTGAGACATCTCATGGTTTTTTCTTACTCTCTAGTCACAAATTGGTCCCTTATGCCAGCCAACTGTGGTAAATGATAGAAAAGTAGCTCAAAGTTCACACTCAGCTGGTGATCAGTCCCTACTGTCATATTCGGAGTTTGCATCTCATTATCCCGTATGTTCTCAGCTTCATTGCAATATTTTCCCTTATCTTAAAATACTAATGCCCTTAACCTTATAAGATATTAAACTTTGGGGGGAAATGACCACAGTAGTGAAGATTATCTTCTTACTAAGTAAAACTTTGTGGCATTTTCATTCAATTCAAAACATTTCTTTTTTGTTTGTTTGTTGTTTTGGGGTTTTTGAGATAGGGTTTCTTAGTATAGCTCTGGCTGTCTTGGAATTTACTCTGTATACCAGGCTGGCCTCAAACTCACAGAGATCTTCCTGCCTCTATCTAAGAGTGCTGGGATTAAAGGTGTACATCAGCCGGGCTTTGGTGACGCATGCCTTTAATCTCAGCACTCAGGAGGCAGAGACAGAGGATCTCTGTGAGTTCGAGACCAGCCTGGTCTACAAGAGCTAGTTCCAGGACAGCCTCCAAAGCCACAGGGAAACCCTGTCTCGAAAAACCAAAAGTGTGCATCACCACCTCCTGGCTAAAGCAAACAAAATTTTATAACTGGAAATGTAGTTTTGTTTTCTAGTATGAACACTATAATTTTGCTATGACATCTGATGAGAAATGCATCTTTCTGATTTTTATCCTAGAAATTCATCTTAGGCTAAAAAATATATCTTTTATGGTTCCTTTCACTTTAATTGGAAATTAGCTAATCTTGGCTTGCTTAAGTAGGGAATCCCATTTTTGTTATTCACATATGTAGATAAGTAGTCAGAAACTTAGCATTTCACATGTTGCATAAAAAAGTTCTGTTACATTATTATTCTTATATAAAAGAACACAGACAGACTGCTGGAAAGCTATGCCAAAAGAAACATTGTGGGTTTCCAGAAAACAACAACAAAATAACTAAAATACTCTTGTAATTAGTAGAAGCAGCTTCTAACAGCCCATTACTTGCCCAAATCTTGTTCTTTGTTTAAATTCTGTGTGACAAGCTTTTTATTAATGATTGGTGGTTTCTGTTTCATTAATGAGGTTGATAATGGTTAATTACCAAAGTGGAGTAAACAGTTCAGAGCCAGATTAAGACTGGAAAGCCAATTATATAGAAATGATCCAGCTGTATTTAATGTTGTTTCCTTTCCCTATGAAAAGCCTCAAATATGTTTTAAAACACTTGAGGAAAAATCCAACTAAATCACTTGGACTCTGATCCATACCGTTTTGTTTAGGATTGTGAGCTGCATCTAGTATTGTTTTCAAATCCATTGAAACAGCCTCAAAACAAAGTGGAATTCACTTGGTCTGAGAAGGTGAGTCAGTACTGTTAGAGATGTCCTTCTGGTTGCTTCATATGAATTGACTACAAGGCTTATCAAAAAAAAATCAACTTAGATTCAAAAAATACAAAATTAGCTATTTAAAAAGTGTCTTTATTTCTATTATGTGCCTGAGTATTTGTCATGTGCGGGTGTTTTACCTGTTTTTATGTTTGTGCAGGTACATGCTTGGAGCCCTTGGAGGCCAGAAGAAGGTATCAGGTCCCCTGAAACTGAAGTTACACATGGTTTTGAGCTGCCATGTGAGTGTTGTGAATTGAACCTGGGTTGTTTCTTTGCAGTATCTATTTTAAGCTTTTCTGGTTGTATTTTTAGGAGTGGAACTGCCTGGTCATATAGAGACTCTATGTTTAGTTGTTTGAGGTACCACCAAACTGTTTTCGATCATTTTACATTCCTATCAGCAATATTGAGCCTTTCAATTTCTCTGCATGCTTCTCCACACTTCTTTTTTCTTTCCTGTTATGCACATCCTATTGGGTATAAAGTAGTACTTTGTTATAGTTTTAATCTACATTTACCTAGTTGCTAATGGTATTGACATATTTTTATGTGTGCATTTTTTCCATTTGTATATCTTTAGAAAGATACCTTTGAAGTTCTGTAACTATTTTATGCAAATTAGTCTGTCTTGGGGCTGGAGAGATGGCTCAGCAGTTAAGAACACCTGTTGCTCTTGAAGAGGAACCAGGTTTGATTCCAAGCACCCACACCAGGCAGTTCACAAGTGTCTGTAATCCCAGCCCTAGAAGATTCCTTCTTCTAGCTTCTTCAGGTACTGCATGCATGTGGCTCTCATACACAAAGATAAAAATAAATAAAAATTTTAAATAAAAATTAGATTGTCTTTGCTGTTTAGTTGTAAGAGTTATTTAATATTCTGGATATTTGCAAATATTTTCTCTCAGTACCTGAATTGCCTTTTCTCTATAATTTTTTTTTGTTTTTTTGAGACAGGGTTTCTCTGTAGGGTTGGAGGCTGTCCTGGAACTCTCTTTGAAGACCAGACTGGTCTTGAACTCACAGAGATCGACCTGCCTCTGCCTCCTGAGTGCTGGGATTAAAGGCATGTGCAACCACCACCTGGACTCTCTATAAAGTTTTAAACGTTCTGATTTGTAGTTTTCAATTTTATTTTACTTAATATTTGACTATCATTGTTTTACTGTGTGTGTGTATGTGTGTGTGTGTGAGAGAAAGAGAGAGAGAGAGAGAGAGAGAGAGAGAGAGAGAGAGAGAGGAGGTTCATTTATGCATGTGCCATGGTGTGCATGGTGTCCAGAGGACAACTTTTGGCAGCCAGTTATCTCCTCCTGTGTGCTGTGAGGATGATGTAAGTTAGGCCATCAGGCTTGCAGGGCAAGGGCTTTTACCAGATAAGCCATCTTGTTGACCTAGGCTTTAAGTTTTGATTATGTTCATTCTCTCTCATCTGTCCTTTGTTGCCCATGATTTAGTGGCATAACTGAGAAACCATGTGCAAATACAAGATCCCAATGATTTACCTCTGTGCTTTCTCCTAAGAGTGCTACTGTTGGGCTCTTATGTTTATGTTACAGACCCATTTGACTTAATTTTTAGTACATATGAGGTGGGCTCCAACTTTGTTTTTTGTGCTTGCACTGGTGGGAGGTCTTGGAGTACCTGGTGCCAATCACTTCAGTCTGAATTCTGGGAGGAGGTTGTCTTAGTCACTCTCCTGTTGTTGTGACAACACACCTTAACCAAAGCAACTTAGAGATGAAAGCATTTTAATAGGGCTTACAGTTTCAAAGGGTTAAAGTCCATGACCATGAAGAGAAGGCATGGTGGCAGGAACAGCTGACAGGGCACCTTTGATCCACAGCAAGAGGCAGAGAGAGAGGGCAAATGGTGTAAATCTTTTGTAACCTCAGAGTTCACCCCCAGGAATACACCTCCTCCAACAAGGTCACATTTCCTAATCCTGGCCAAACAATTCCACCAACTGGGAAACAATATTCAAACATATGAGCCAATGGGGGTCATTCTCACTCAAGTCACCACTGGGAGGAAGGAAGAATTTGTTTGGGTTTTTAGTTTAAGAAGAGATACAGTCCATCATGATGAGCAAGGCTAGGCAGCAGGCTGTGAGGCAGCTGCTCACACTGTCTACTTGGTCCTACTCAGTTTGTACCGTGTCTAATATTATTCATTGATCTTCCTTTTAGTTTAAGTAGAGGCTTTTCAATCTTGTTTATCTTTTCAAATAGCGATTTTTCCCCCACTGATCTTTTGTATTATTCATTTGGTTTCCATTTCATTAATTCCAGCTCTTTTTATTCTTTCTTCCTATCTATTGGTCTTGGGTTTGCTTTATTCTTGCCTTTCCTTCCTTCCTTCCTTCCTTCCTTCCTTCCTTCCTTCCTTCCTTCCTTCCTTCCTTCCTGTTAGCTTGGAACTCACTGTGTGAACCAAGTTGACCTCAAAGTCACAGAGATCTGCCTGCCTCTGTCTCCTAAGATCTGGGATTAAATGCATGAGCCACCACACAGGCTTTGTTTTGCTTTCCTAAGAACTTGGGATGCCTTTCTGGGTTATTTATTTGATATCTCGATGATGTTTTAATGTAAAAACCTTTTGCTATAAACTTTCCTCTTGGATAGACTTTATGTACTGCATATTGTGGTAAGTGGTATTTTCATTTGATTCTAGAAAGTTCCATGTTCACTAATATTTTTCCAGAGTATGTTGTTCCAGATCCATATATTTGACTGTTTTGCTGTTGAATTTTACTTTTTCTTCTGTTAATATTTGATAAAATAATAATGAATTATTTTAGGTATTTTGCATTTATAATGATTTATTTTATGACTTAGAATGTATTTGTGATGGCTATTCTTGGTTGTCAACTTGACTATATCTGGAATTAACTAAAATCCAAAACTAGAGGACACACCTGTAAGGAATTTTGCTTACTCTGAAGTAGGAAGATCCACTTTGAATCCGGATTTGGTAGGAAGACACATGCATTTAATCTGGGTCATGCCTTCCGCTGGGGGTGCTCCATAAGGACATGGAAGAAGGAAGCTCTTGCTTTTTGCCTACTTGCTCTCTCTTGCTACAAAGTCCATTCATTCTCTGGCATCTTAAGTGGAAAAATGAAAGCAATGAAACAAACGAAAGGCTACACTGGATCACAGCAAAAGGGACTGTCATCCTGTGAATCCATTTCCAGATGTGAGCCTGTTTGCAGGACCCAGAACCCCTTGAATGAAGAGACAGCAACAAAGGCTGGTGATAATGAATTCATTAGACCCAAGATAAATGAGAAATGGGTGTTTAATTGGGAAACAACTTACACAGAACAATAAAGAACTGCCGCAGCGCTTCTCTGCCCTTCCAATTCAACCCACGACCAGAGAGAGAGAGAGAGAGAGAGAGAGAAAGACCACACCTCACACTTTCCATTAACACAAATACACTGGAAAGGACGATGCTGCTGCACAACAAGGTTCCCTTGAGGAAGGACACTGACAAAATACCTAAAAGTTTTACTGTTAGCCTTTCTCCAGAGGGACGTCTGGCCTTTTACAAGGGTAACTAACTGTACCCTGGGGGGAAGGAAACAATCTAACTTTCAAGGGCCTGTTGGATACTGGTTCTGAATTGATTCTGATTCCAGGAGACCCCAAGAAACATTGTAGTCCTCCAGTTAAAGCAGGGGCTTATGGAGGCCAGAGGATTAATTGAATTTTGGCTGAAGTCTGACTCACAGTAGGTCGATCCAGTGGGTCCCCAACTCATCCTGTGTCTATTTCTCCAGTTCTGGAATGTATAATTGGGATAGATACACTTAGAAGTTGGCAGAATTCTCACACTGGTTTCCTCACATGTGGAGTAAGGGCTATTATGGTTGAAAATGCTAAATAGAAGCCTTTAGAATTGCCTCTTCCAGATCCACAACTACCCACTAGGTCAAGCTCCCAGAGTCCAGCCGAAGAAAAGTGAGGAATGATAATATGAGCAAAGGGGTCAAGACCACAATGCAGAAACCCACAGAAACAACTGATCTGAACTAGTGAGAGCTCACCAACTCCAGACTGACAGCTTCAGAACCTGCATAGCACCTAACTGGACCCTCTGCAAGCAAGTGACAGTGGGTGGATTGGGCAGCTTATGAAGCCGCTGGCAGCAGGTCCAGGATCTATCCCTAGTACATGAACTGGCTTTTTGGAGCCCATTTCCTATGGAAATATATCTTGTTCAGCCTAGACCCGAGGAAGGCGGGGAGGGCCTTGGTCAGGCCTCATCATGGTGATGGGACAGATTTTGTTGACTCTCCATGGGAGGCCATACCCTCTCTGAGGAGTGGATGGGCATGGGATGAGGAGAAGCTGGAGAGAGTGGGATGAAGGGAGGGAGGGAGAACTGATTGATTGGTATGTAAAATTTAAACGTAAAATAAAATAAATTAATTTAAAAATTTGCCTCTGTCAAGGGAAATAGTGAATCCAAAGCAGTATTGTATCCCTGGAGGAACTGCAGAAATTAGTGCCACCATTGTTAGGGCAAAAGCTCATGGGGAACCTTGGTGGATTCCATGGTAGGCAAGGGTGACCGAGGCGGAGGGACAAACATGCCAGGCAGACAGAGCTTAGTGAGAAGTTTTATTAGAAAGGGAAGGGAGGGGAAGAGACACAGAGACAGAGGACAGAAGAGAAGAGGGAGATAGGAAAAGTCCTGTCTGTTTCAGGAGAACAGGAGGAAACAGAGCAGGAGAGAGCAGAAAGAGAGCATAAGTGGGTGGGGGTCTTTCTTTTAAAGGTTTTCCTTTGCACCTGCCTCCAGACTAGTAGTCATGGAACTCTGGGCTGACCAGAGGACTGCCTGAGTGCATTCTGCCAGGTGACAGGGGTAGGCCAGCATAATGCCTGAATCCTTACAACCATCAAGGACTTCAAAGATGCAGGGGTGGTGGTTCCTATCACATCTGCCTTTAACTCCTCTATCTGGCCAGTGAAGAAAACAGATGGATTGTGGAGGATGACAGTTGACTATCAAAAAATTAATCAGGGGGCTGGAGAGATGGCTCAGAGGTTAAGAGCACTGGCTGGTCTTCCAGAGGTCCTGAGTTCAATTCCCAGCAACCACATGATGGCTCACAACCATCTGTAATGAGATCTTGTGCCCTCTTCTGACCGGCAGGGATACTTGCAGACAGAACATTGCATACATAATCAATAAATAAAGATTAAAAAAAAAAAACTTAATCAGGTAGTGACTCCTATTGCAGCTTCTGTACAAGATGTGGCGTCTTTACTTGAGCAAATTCACACATCTCCTGGTACATAGTATACAACTATAGCTCTAGCAAATGCTTTTCCTTAGTACTTGTCCATAAGGACTATTAGAAACAATTTGTTTGCAGTTGGCAAGGCCAGCAGTATACCTTTACAGTTTTACCTCAAGCACATATTGACTCTCCTGCCCTGTGTCATAACTCAGAAGGGATCTCGATCATCTGTCTCTTCCACAAAATACCCTACCAGTGCACTATATTGATGACATTATGCTGGTTGATCCAAGTGAGTAGGAGGCAGCAACCACTTTAAACTCATTGGTATCACGTATGAGCATCAGAGGATGGAAAATAAAGCCAACCAAAATTCAAGGGCCTTCTACCTCAGTGAAATTCTTAGGAGTCCAGTGGTGTGGAGCATGCAGAGATATTCCTTGTAAGGTGAAGGATAAGTTATTGTACCTGGCCCCTCCTACCACCAATAAACAAGCGAAGTGTTATGTGGGCCTATTTGGATTCCAGAGACATCACATCCCTCACTTGAGTTTGTTACTCCAACCCATATACCAAGTGACTCAGAAAACTGCTAGCTTTGTGTGAGGCCCAGAACAGGAGAAGTCTCTTCAACAAGTCCAGGCTGCTGTGCAGGCTGCTCTACCACTTGGACCGCATGATTCAGCAGATCTGATGGTATTTGAGGTGTTAGTGGCACATAGGGATGCTGTCTGTAGCCTTTAGTTGGCTCTAGGTGAATCACTGAGATCTTTGGGATTTTGGAGTAAGGCTCTACCACCATCTGCAGAAAACTATTCTCCCCTTGAAAGGTAGTTCTTGGCCTGCTAATGTACCTTAGTGGAAACTGAACATTTGACAATGGGTCACCAAGTTACCATTCGACCTGTGCTGCCCATTATGAGCTGGGTGTTATCTGATCCACTAAGTCAAACAGAAGGATGTATCCAGCAGCAATCTCTTATCAAATGAAAATGGTATATATGGCCAGGTGTTTTAATCCCAGGATTTGGGAGGCAGAGGCAGGCGAGGCCAGCCGGATCTACAGAACAAATTCTAGAACAGGCTCCAAAGCAATACAGAGAAAACCTGTCTCAAAAAACTAACCAAAAACAACAAACAAAAAGAAAAAAAGAAAATGGTATATATGTGATTGGGTCTGAGCAGGCCCTGAAGACACAAGCAAGTTTCATGAAGAAGTTGCCAAGATGCCTATGGTTTCTACTCCCAGTACAATGTTGTCTGTTGTCAAAAAATGTACCTATATCTTTCTGGGGTATTCCCTATGATCAGTTGACTGAAGAAGAGAAGGCTAGGTCTGGTTTACTCATGGTTCTGCACATTATGCAGGCACCACCCACAAGTGGACAGCTGCAGCATTACAACCCCTTTCTGTAACAACCCTGAAAGATACTGGTAAAAGAAAATATTCACAAGGGGCAGAACTTTGGGCAGCACACATGGCCATACAATTTGTTTGGAAGGATGAATGGCCAGGTGTGCGGTTGTTCACTGATCCACAGCTGTAGCCAATTGATTGGCTGGATGGTCAGGGATTGGAAAATTGGTGAGAAGGATATTTATGGAAGAAGTATGAGGATAGATCTTTCCAAATGGTTGAATGATCTGAAGACACTCATGTCTGTAAATGTTCACCAAAAGGTGACTTTGGCTGAGGAGAAATTCATAATCAAGTAGATTGGATGACCCATTCTGTGGACAGTCAGCCTCTTTCCCTAATCATTCCTATCATTGTCCAATGGTCCCATGAACAAAGTAGCCATCATGGCAGAGGTGGGGGTTATGCATGGGCTCAACAACATGGACTTCCATTCACCAAGAGTGACCTGGCCACAGCTGCTGCTGAATGCCAGACCTGCCAACATCAGAGACCAAAACTGAGCCTCTGATACAGTACCATTCCCTGGGGTGACCAGTGAGCAATCTGGTGTCTGGTTGACTTCATTGGACCACTTCCTCCATGGCAAGGACAATACTTTGTCCTTACTGGAGTAGATATTTATTCAGGTTATGAATTTGCCTTTCCTACATGTAATGTTTCTGCCAAAACACCATCTATAGACTTACAGAATGCCTGATCCACTGACATGGTTTCTACATGGTATTATTTCTAACCAAGGAACTCACTTCTCAGGCAGATAAGTGTGATAGAGGGCCTACAATCATGGAATCAGCTGGTCTTCCCATATTCCCAACCATCCTGAAGCAGCTGGCCTCATAAAAAGATGGGATGGCAGCGGGAAGTTGGTGGTACATGCCTTTAATCCCAGCACTCGGGAGGCAGAGGCAGGCAGATCTCTGTGAGTTCTAGTCTTGCCTGGCCTACAAGAGCTAGTTCCAGGACAGCCTCCAAAGCCACAGAGAGACCCTGTCTCGAAAAACAAAAACAAACAAACAAACAAAAGATGGGATGGCCTTTTGAAGACACAGTTATAACACAAATAAGGTGGCAGAAGCCTGGAGGGCTGGGCAGGTTCTCCAGAAGGCAGTATATGCTTTGAATCAGCATCCAATTTATGGTACCATTTCTTCCAGAGCCAGGATCCATGGGTCCAGGAATTAAGGGGTGGAAGAGGAAATAGTTCCACTCACTATCACCTCTAGGGGCCCATTAGGAAAACTTTGGCTTCCTGTTCCTGCCACCATAAGTTCTGCCCGCCTAGAGGTTTTGGTTTCAGAGAAGGGAATGCTCCTGGCAAGAGCCACAACAAACTTTCCATTGACTTCCAGGCCAACAGGCTAACAAAGGAGTAGCAGAGTTAGGAGGGGTGATTGTCCAGATTACCATGGGGAAATTGGAATGCTTCCCTACAATGAAGTAAAGAAGATTATGTATAGAGTGCAGGAGATTCCATTCTTGCTGGGCAGATAGAGGATGGAGATGATTCATTTTTTCCCTAGGCTTATAGCACCACAGTTTATCTGATGTGTCGCGCGTGTGTGTGTGTGTGTGTGTGTGTGTGTGTGTGTGTGTGTGTGAATAAAGAGTCATTTTCTCTCTTAAACCTAAACAGGCTAGACCAGAAAGGTCTATGCTGAGCCTGTCCTACTTTTCCAGCCAGAGCCCTTGCACTACTGTGACTGCTGCTTGGCTGGAGCCCCGCCAGTGTTGACTTTGTAGGACCTACAGTGTGGCAGGTGTAGTAGCTGCCCTCAAACTGTTTGTGCCAGTTGAGCCTGTGGACTAGGGGGTTGGGCACCTGCTTGCAGCAGAGGTGTGCTGCCATTGGGCATGTGGGCGTGGGAAATGCCTCAGCAGCAGCT